TTGTTTGAGAACTCTGATGTACTTTTATGTGATATTTTCGTATATGTTTTATAATACGTGTACGGGGTAGAGTGGAGTGTTACACTTACAAGCTGAAACAAAGGACAAACAATGAAATTGCCAAGCATAAGGCAAGACTAGTCGCGAGAGCTTTTCTATAAAAACCTGGTATTGATTTTGACAAAGTGTATGCACTTGTGGAAAGGCTGGAAACCATCAGAATTATTGTGACGACAACAACATACAGAAGGTGGAAAATACATCAGGTGGATGTAAAGTCACCATTTCTGAATGGACCATTGGAAGAAGAAGCCTATGTCAGTCAACTACCAGAATTCACAATCAAAGGGAAAGAGTTGATGCTATACAAATTAAGGAAGGCTCTATATGGTTTAAAGCAATCCTTAATAGCTTACAATAAGAGAATAAATATCTTTTTGATCAAAGCAAGTTTCACAAAGTGTGTATCTGAACATGGGGTGTATGTCAATGATGCAGATAAGGTCAATCAAATCATCTTATGTTCGTATGTATAGGACTTGTTGATTACAGGTGCAGATGAAACAAAGATAAGAAGAGTCAAGTCGAAGCTGATGCAATATTTTGAGATGTCCGACCTATGGAATGTGTCATATTTATTAAGGATAAAGTTCAAAGACACAAATGAAGAAGGTTTCTGCACCAAAAGAAGTATGCTAAAGATATTTTGAACAAGTTCAAGATGAACAATTGTAATGCAGCTGCTACACCATTAGAAACTAGAGCAAAATTAAGAAAGGAAACAAATGATGAGTTTGTAAGTGCAACATTGTATAAACAAATCATTGGATCTTTAAGGTATCTTTGCAATACCAGGCCAAACATCTGTCAAAGTGATGGACTATTGAGCAAGTTCATGGAGAAACCCCAAAAACGTCATCTCACTGCAGTCAACAAAGTGCTAAGATACATCAAAGGTATGAATGATCATTGTGTTTTGATGCCAAGACAGAAGAAGACCAACACATAAACAAAAGTATATGGCAACACTGATTTAAAATTTAGTGGAAATCAAGACTAGAAGAACAGTAATGTAGGCTACATATTCATGATCGAAGGCTCAAGGAAGAAAACTATTATGGCTTTGTCATCTTGTGAAGCTAAGTACGTGGCTGCATCATATGCAACATGTCAAGCAACATGGATAGAGATGTTGGTCAAAGAGCTCAAGATAATGGAACATAGGAAAATGAAGTTGTTTGTCGATAATAAGTCAACAATCGACTTGACGAATCATCCAGTGTGTCAGGGTCGAAGTAAACACATAGAAAGAATATATCATTTTCTTACAGATATAGTTAACAAATGAAATTTTGAACTTGAGCATTGCAAGACAAAATGACAACTAGCTAATATACTCACCAAACCATTGAAGAAAGTCAGGTTCGATGAGTTGAGGGAAAAAATATTGGGATGAAAAGTATTGAAAATATGAATTAGATGGTGTGCTAGTTGTAATTCATAATTTTGTAGAAAGCTAGCATTTGACTCTGTTGAAGTAGCTAGTCAAAGTATTAGGAGCAACTGTATTCAAAAGGGTCAAATACAAAATATATTTGTCATGCCGAAGTGTAACTTGGAGTTTTATATTTGCACTTTGTAAGTTTGGGGTCTGGGCTTTAATTGCCTATATAAAGGGCATGGTATGATGTAAATAACACCTTCACTCAATAAGGATTCTGCTTATCGCAAATTCAATATATAGTCTCTCTCTCTCTCTCTCTCTCTCTCTCTCTCTCTCTCTCTCTCTCTCTCTCTCTCTCTCTCTCTCTCTCTCTCTCTCTCTCTCTCTCTCTCTCTCTCTCTCTCTCTCTCTCTCTCTCTCTCTCTCTCTCTCTCTCTCTCTCTCTCTCTCTCTCTCTCTCTCTCCCCCCTTTGATCCAATGAGGAAAATTATAAGGGGGATTGAAACTGGAGAAGTCTAACTAATTTAATCGAATTTTTTCTCTATCTTTTTTGATGGTCATTGTTGTAGTACAACACAACACATGAGAGGCCACTTAGCAAATTATTATGGTGGACTCTCTCCTCAAAAAATAAATTTAATATAGTATGAACCTTTGACATACATATATATCAGATATTAAATTGATAATAATAAATACTACACTTGATCTTAGCTAACATGCCGAAAAAGGTATGGTTCCAATCAATTTAATTGGAAACCAAATCAATTTTCATCCCGTTGGTTTTAAAAACCGTTTTAATAAAGAATAAGAAAATATAGTGAAAAATCAAACATAAATTAAGGAAAATCGAAAAACTCGCTTGTCGGTCAATTATGTGCATTTGATCGATTTTTTTCCTTCTTCAAAATAAAAAGTTAAAATTTTGTTAAGAATGGTTTATGTGAAGATTAAATGTAAAAGTGAAACAATTTTTACTATTACACATTGAAAAATGAAGTATGCAAGGCTGTTAATATATAAAAGTTCAACATCATCAAATAATTTGCACTTTAAATTTGCAAAATGTGAAAACATGCATGTACCACATTAATATAACAAATTAACTATTTAATATTACATTTAACAGTATACTATACAAATTGTTTTAAATATATATTTGGATTTTCATATGATATTTTTAGTTTATTAATCTTATTGTTATTATTTATTTAGTATAATATATTAAATAATAAAAACATATTACTAGTATTAGTTAACTAGTATAATTGATTAAATATTTATTATTTTTATCAAATAATTTAGTGACTAAAATTATTTTTAAAAAATAAATAAATAGTGAGCAAATGAAATGTCACATATTCAAACTCGTACTTAGACATTTAAAATAGTTTAAAAGGTTTGAACTTTAAAGGGTTTGAGCGGGCAACCACTCCGTTTAAGCTCGTCCCATTTTAGTCCGTCCAAAAAAGAGGCGGAACGAATCAACTTAAACGTCCGAACTCAAAAGTCAAATCAATCCCATTTACCAACAAGTTGACGGACTCCACCAAACTTTTTTTTTACATTATAATTTACTACTTTATCCACATTTGTTTAAATAAGTTACTAGTTTATTTATAAATTTTTAGACCATATGCCATTAGCATCTAAGGATGACAATTTGATCCATATCCACGAGACACCTGCAAAATATGCCTACATAAATAGGATAAAAACTCGTAAAATGAGCTCGGGTATGGATGCAGGACGGGTAACTTAGTACCCAACCCGTCCCATATCCGCATAATATATATTTACATATTATCATTTATATTGTCGTATAAAAATGCATGTCTATCATTTTTTTTAAATACCATTATAAAGTACCACACATTTCAATATAAATGTTTGTTTATTTTTTAATTTAACAATAAAATCTTTGAGTTTTTAAAATATTGTTAAAAACTTTAAAATATTTGATATTTCATAATTGATCGATTTTTTAACTATAAATGCAGACAACGAGTACGAGCATGAGTACTTAGGTACCTACAAGATACATGTACAAGTACAGACATTGACGCCTACGCGAGTATGAGATCAGGTATGAAGATTTTTTAAAAATTTAGATATAAAAACAAATATTATACTATCCTGCCCAAACCATACTTATTGTCATTTCTATTAGCATCTAAACAATACTTCACACTTTTAAGAGTTAGTACTAAACAATAAAATATATAAAAAAGCTATAGTATTTTAATAAACAATAATAAAAAAAATTTACATTTCATTATTTCTCAATTTTCTAATTCCTATCTCATAAATTACTACTTTCGTTCGTTTTTAAGTGTTATTTTTTGACTTTTTATCCATAACAAGACAACTAATAATTGTTATTACTTTTTAAACAATAATTATTATTTTTTCTACAATACCTTTAACTTTTATGTAAATCATTTAACTTTTTTTCTCCCTCTATAATAAATGATCAGAGATAATTTTAACAATAATACAATTAATACTACATTGAACTTTAAAATGACCCTTTAAAAAAATTATTATTTTTTTAAAAAAATGACACTTACATTTATAATTGAAAGTGAAATAACAAAATTTTTAATTTATGACAATATTAGACGTAAAGTATTCGAATTCTCGGTTTTTAATCAATAAAGCGAAAACAAATTAACGGATTGACATTTTCAATTTACCACCCAATTTTCATTATAAGAAAAACCATTTTAACAAAAAACCACAGGCAAAATCAGTCACCGTTGATTTTTCATAGAATTAGATGAGACTAACCAATTTAAAACACCGGACTGAAAATTTCGGCTCTACCCATAAAAAATGTTGGATCAGGATCAAACATACTGACCCAACAAATTCGATCCGTTTCGCCGCTCCAATATTGTGTATGCCACTTTTATATCGGATTTTAATTACCTTGAAAATTACTATAGTCCATTTTCAAATACGTGAGGCATGCTATTCTCACATCCACGTCTCTTCACCCCTATGACCTGCCACTAATCTCATTGGACAGTGACGAATACTCGATCACCAAACATACTCATAAAGCAGCCAAAACGATGGCATAGGGATTTCCCAAATGGCATTTTCGTTGTGCCCGAAGCACCGCAAGGTTATTTCTGTAAATACACAAAAGAGAAAGTGAGTAACAAACACCAAAACGCTTCGTATCTTAAATAGTGCCAGAATCTCCCTCTCTCCCTCTCTCCACTCATCTCTGGTTTCTCTCCAAAAGCTTCATCGTTTCGGTTAATGGTTAGGGTTTCATAATTCCCATTGCATGATGATGCACAATTTTCACTCTCCAATTCCATTTCTTCTACTCGCTCTTCAAAATATGAATTGATTCATATCTTCTTCTTTTGAGGTAATTCACTTTTCTATGCTTTTACGCTCAAATTTATCTCTCTTAAACGAGGTGTCAATTCCCGATTCCAGAATGCTTCACCTTTTTTTTTGTTTTTTCGTGCTGTTGTTTACTTGTTTTACATGCTTATGTTTCATTCCTGTGGTGTCTACAGTGGCGGAAGTTGTGATATGGAAATGTATGGTGTTTCTGAAACTCGGAACCCGGATGCTTACTGGGTAATTTTTTTAATAAATTTTTGTAACTTCATTTTGTTTAACGATTGATTTTATTGCCGCTACTACTGAGATTGTCTGATAGTTGATAATGTGTGTTGTTTTATTATTTCGGTTTAGATTGAAGGTGCTGATTTAAATTCACGCTTTGCAAGCCCGAGCTTTGAACAGTCTGGTGCACTGTTTAATGAAGGAGCCCCTGAATTTGTTGACCAGAGCATGTATTACCCTGCTGCAACCAATTATGGGTATTATGGTACAGGTAGATTAAAATGGATATGCTAGTTTTTTTGGTTTTGGTGGTGTTTTATGCATCATGTTAATGATTTATTATTTGGTGGATTTAGGATTTGAACCGCCGGGGGAATGGGAGGACCAGCAGAGGATTTTTGGTATAGAGGGTCCTGATGTTCAGTACACGGTGAGTCTGACTCCTGTTTCTGTCTGTCATATTTTGGGCCAGTAACTGATTTTGATGTGTGTTTTTTTTTACTGTTTTTCCCAGGGTGGACAAAATGAAAATTTTCCATATGTATATTATAGCTATGGATATGCACAGTCTCCATATAATCCGTATAATCCGTACATACCAGGTGCAGTGATAGGAGTTGATGACTCATTTGGTGGAGAACAATCTTATTACACCCTCCCCCATTATCAAGATCCTGCTTCTTCACCTTCTTATGTTCCCCTTGTTCAACCTGACAATTTTCCTTATAATTCTGCAAACTCCTTGTTTGGAGCCAGCGCTTCTGTCAATAGACCTGATGGAAGAGGTTTAAAACATAAGTTCAATTCAGCTTATGGTAACTTTTCTAGGAACTCTTCACAACTTTTATCAAATCAGACAAGTTCCTTGGCCAGGGTATCAGAAGGGCCGAGAGCTAATGATGGAAGGAAGCATGCAAGTGTTTCTGGAAGTAGGTTTCTCAACATGGCCTCATCAGCTGTTCATCAGGTATAACGATTTTCCTCTTTTTTGGATTACCAATGAATTTAAGTTTGTCCCGACTACTTCGGTATGACTATGAGTGACACTGGTTGCTACTATTACAGTGTCTTCAACTCTTTTTCAACTGCAAATTTTATTTTTGTATGAGCATATGGGTGGAAGATATGGCTAAGACCAGTCTTCCATTTGTTTCAAATTGAGTGTTGTTTAAGGTTGTTGGTGCACACATATTATATAATATAATAAAGTAGTCAAATGATTATGGCATTGTGAATTTAAAGGACTCAGTCTCATAGCAACATGGCTTTGTAATTTGGAAATTACTCTTGCTATGTTTACATGTTTACGGCAATCTAATAGTTATAATCATTGCTAATGTTATCTTTATGGAAGTAGTAGTAGGAAGCATGCGCCATTCACATGTTGATTTCACATTGCTCAAGGTAGGAAACATGTTAAAATGGACTGCAATAGTAATAATTTTAGTACAGATTTTCTGACTTGCTTAAAGTTAATTAATGAGGGCAAAGTTGGACCGAAAAAGTCATTGTTCATTGAAAATTGAAAACATTCATTTTGAAACAATTTTTTTACTAAAGTGACACTCATTTTGAAAGAGAGGGAGTAAATGTATTAGTGGTTGACTGTGATGTTCTGTTTTGTAGGATAGAAGTTCTGATGCTTCAGTGCAACCAGTAAGTGCTATTTCTAATGGGAATGCTATTTCTCATCGTAATCAATTGAAAGTAGCTGCTTCAAGTGAATCTTCTCATTTTGCATCAAATCCTAATGGACAGTCTGCAGTTGGTAAACTTAGGCCGAAGGTTGACATATTTAAAGTATCAAATGATGGAAATGGCAGCGCTGATGTATTGGGTGAGCAAAATCGAGGCCCTAGGACTAGTAGATCAAAACTTCAGCTGTCTGTGAAAGCTTATACAACCAAGGTAGGAGGTTGTAATGAGCAAGGAAACATCATCATTTATACCGATCAATACAACAAGGAGGATTTCCCTCTTAACTATGATAATGCGAAGTTTTTTGTGATAAAATCATACAGTGAGGATGATGTGCACAAAAGCATTAAATACAATGTTTGGTCTTCCACACCTCATGGAAACAAGAAGTTGGGAAATGCGTATGAGGATGCAAAGAAACTATCAGCTGAAAAAGCTGGAGTCTGTCCAATCTTCCTATTTTTTTCTGTAAGTATGACGGTGTCTTAAAATGAGTATTTTTTTGTTTTTTTTTGTTTTTATCCAATATTATTTGCAACCTAATCACTTTATGTTTTTCTCGCTGGCTTTAATATTCTTTTTTCTGTTTTAACATGCAGGTTAATGCTAGTGGTCAATTCTGTGGAGTTGCAGAGATGATTGGTTCAGTTGATTTTAATAAGGATATGGACTTCTGGCAGCAAGATAAATGGAGTGGGAGCTTTCCTGTGAAGTGGCATATCATAAAAGATGTACCAAATGCACATTTTAAGCACATTATTCTAGAGAACAATGAAAACAAGCCAGTAACTAATAGCAGAGATACGCAAGAGGTATACATTATTTTTTGGAATATAAGAAAGCTTAAATATCTTGGTATTATGTTAGAGTGCTATAGTTTATTTCATAAGACTAGCCTTTAATTGAGAGTATTTTAAATTGTCTCCTAAGATAAGTTTCAATACTATGTAGTTATTGTAATTTGTGTTCCAATTTTTCTATTTATTTTTTATTAAGAGTCTTGTATTCCTGTAGTAGAGATTAGTGTTTCAATCTTTTTAACATGTTAGTATCAAGCAATGTTTTAAAAATTGGATCAGTGGGAGACCTCTGCGTCATGTTTCAATTGGTTCAGTCGTTAAATTAGATAACTAAATAAGTAAAAAATATAACAATAGCAATTTAATAAAATCAACAAGTAAAAATCGGTTGTAACAACAGCGGTTCAACCCATATCAATTTGGTTCAATCAGAGTGCAGTTCTATTGGGATCAAACCAACCAGTGAAATAGCTGGTTCCTGGGTCAACCGGCAGGTTTTCAAAACATTGCTATCAAGCTATGCCATAATTATATATTTATTTTACTATTCTCCTTTTATTTATAACTCATAACTAATAATTCATTCTGTTCAAGAGTTGATTTATGAAATTTATATTAGGCAACTTCATCTCTTCAACATTTTTAGTCTTTGTAGGTAAGGTTTTTACCTGAGTAGTTGCATTGAGTTTGTTTGCTAAAATGATTATTGCCATTTCTCAATTGTCTTAATCTGTTATAACAATTGCTGAGTTCTCCTAGGATTTAATTGATTGACTCAACCAATGAATATATGTTTGATTTCTTGGTGTTTGGTTTAAGGTTTTAGTTAAGTTGATATGCTTGAAGATAAAGTAATTATACAAACTTTGCTAGATGGTTGAAGATAAAGTATTATACAAACTTTGCTAGATGGTTGTTGGATGAATAGACCTACTTTTTGTGCTAATTATTTTGATTTTGGTTTTAGTTGTTATTAGGTTATGGTTGTTGTTGCGATGATGGCAGCAGTGTGGTATACATGATTGTCTGATATGAATTTATTCTTGAATCAAGTTAACTGTTGATTAGTTTCCCTTTTGTTTTTAATGTCGGAAAATTATTGTAAACTTGGGGCTATTTTTGACTTTTGTTAATTTTGCTTATTATTGGTCATGTCTATTTTTCCTCTTGCTTCTTGAGTTGTAATATTGCATATTGAATGTTCTTGCTCATGGCAGATAATGTATTTTAAAGGATTGGAAATGCTGAAAATATTCAAAAGTCATACTTTGAAGACATCTTTGCTTGATGATTTCATGTACTATGAAAACCGCCAGAAGATTATGCAGGATGAGAAAGCCAAGCTCCTTATCAGAAGTGTAGAAAGTCCATTATTCGTACAAGCTTTGGAAGCTCCTCAAACGTTGGTTGTTGGCAAACCTCCCAGCAAATATGAGAAGAATTTGAAGATCAAGGATGATTCTGATAACTCAAACCAGATGTCCATTTCAAGCTCTGAGCAGAACATCCATAATTCTGATGTCCCCAACAGCAAGTCTGTGAATGAGCAGGCTAAGAAAATTGCAGTTCATGAAGATATTTCTTCTATCTTAAAGATTGGTTCAGTCACTATTACCCCAAAGCAGGTTGAGGCAAAACAATCTGGCATTGGTAACAGAGAACAAATTGATGTTCTTACTGTAGGCTCAATGCCCATTAAAGTTAATGGGTTCGCCGGCTCTTCTGGTTTCTTGAAAGTTGGAAGTATACAACTTAACCCAAAAGCTTTACAACCGTAAAAAGGAGATGCTGCTGCTAAAAGTAGTTTGCCTTTTAGTTTGTCATCTGGTTTGGTCAAAGTTGGATTAATGTTTCTTGATTGTATCATGCAGTTGAGAAGCTGTTTCTCTTTGATCTATTTCTGTTTCTATTGCTTCGATACAAAGGCTCTTCCTTCCAATTGTCATGAGTTTTCATGCTGCAGTGTTGACTCCTAAAACTTCCAAATGTCAGTTTCTCTTTTTGCATACATCATTGGGTCAGTTTTCTCTGAATTTCATCCAATCTCTTGTGGGAAAGCATGAAGAAAACCTCTCCACTTTCATTCCATGTTATATATTCACAAGATCTATCTTTGTTGCGTTGTTAAGAATGTATGTGTTCCATTTTGATTATGATTTGGTTTTGAAGGTGTTGAAATGTAGTATACAACTGAATGAGAGTTTATTCTTTAACAATAGTAAATTCTTTTGGATTGTTTGCTGTTGTCCACTATTGTGGACTTGAAACATGATGATACCATTTCAATTGGGATCTGATGTCATGCTTTACTAGGATTATATACCATTTCAATTGGGATATACATAAAATTATGTGAATTGCACCACGTGAAATTTGTTTAGTTAAGAGCTAAGACACTAAAGTTTTAACATGAGAAATTTTTTTCTTTTCAATTGATTTATTCTTTCTTTTCAATGGGAGATAAATAAGCAACCCGTTGATTTGTATAACTACTTCAAGGTAGTTTCATTATGGCACACCAAGATTCACGAGAAAATAGATGATACATGTAAAATTATTTTACATTCACATTCAATGAACTAACATGGACTCACATAATATAATAATGATTTTTTTACTTAAAAATAATATAATAGTGTAAAATTATTTTATATTATCTATGCATATTTTTAAACTTGTAATTTATTTATATTTTTATTATTAATTAAAAAAAAATCTGTTAAAATGAAAGAAGTAATTAAAAAATTCTTATTTAATTTATTCACATTTGTTGAATTTTTTAATTTTATATAAATGTATTGATTTCTTGGCTTACAAGAAGTCGACACACATGTAACAAAAAAGGAAGAAAGTTTACCTCTTTTTTGCTATTTTGCCTTTACCTCTTTTTTGCTATTTTGCCTTTTGGGGACGCAAGTCATATTAATTTCTTAAGTATTTTATTTTATACTACCATTTGGACATTTTAGTTATTAACAAATCACTCAAACAATGTTGACCCAAGTCTTTATTTTGATGTCAAATGTCCATCGATGATTGACATTGTCAAAAGTTTCCCCATTCCCATCAAAACCAATTCACACACCTAACATATCTCATTTCAAACAACACTCTTCTTCTGTCACACTAATTTCTTCTTCTCTCTCATTCCCATTCTCAGATCCCTCTTTCTCTATCTTTCTCAGATCTCTCTTCCCCTGTCTTTCTCAGATCTCTAATCTTCTCTCTTTCTCTCATCAGTCGTTAATTGAATTTTTTGTTAACCATCGAACCTGATATCATTTTTGTGAATCGCTATTTCAGGTATTTCATCGCATTCCTCACAAGCTACAAGGTATGTCATTATTCGTCTGTGTATTCATTTTGTAATGGCGTGGTTTAATTTTTTTTGATTTCGCTTTGTTTCTTGATTCAAATTTATCATCATCACCATCGCTTCGTTTGTAATGACACATCATTTTTAATGACGTTTGTATCTTCGTTTTACTATGTGCTGCTTTCTATCTGCTTTAAATCATTTGAAGAACATCAAGTTTGTTGACTGAGTTACTTTCAGATTCCCTTACAGCTTCATTTTTGCCACTCTTCAAAACATGATATTGCAACTCCAAATATGTTTCCTTTTACCTATTTTGTTGATTTTCAATTTCAGAAATACTACCTTTTGTAGATATACAGTTTCAGAAATACTCTTCAATGTTGTGAGGATAGATCTTTCAACACCCTTCACGAGGTGATGGATTCGGGCTCCAAGCTCTTGTACCATGCCATGACTCCCTTTCTCAGAGTCGTCAGGAAGAGCCTGCATTTGATGGCTCCTCGAATGTTCCGGTAGTCGAGCATGGCTTTGATGTCTTCCAGATGGTCGTCTGGGTTCGTCGTGCCATCATAGGTGGAGAGGGCAGGCGGCTTCTCCATCCTGTAGGGGATGGGGGTCTCCATGATCTCTCGTGATAAGGGAGTCTGGTGGATGTCCTCGTCACTTTGGACAGGGGAGCGTGAGGGGGAAGGATTGTGCCGAGGTACTTGACCGCGACCCTTCATCTTTCTCGGGGTCGGGGAACGCCTCTCCTTTCGGGGAGGTGACCTATCGCGCTTCTTGGAGGCCACAGCTTGGGGCCTCTCCAATTGTGATCGGCGCCCTCGTTGACGGGGAGAGGGGCTCCGGGAGTCCTCGCGCTGGGTTCTCCACGGGGGAGAGAGAGATGAACGATCCCGTTCTAGCATCCCGATACGCTCGTTCTGCTTGAACAACATCAAATTAGTTTGGTTGATGGCTGCGAAGAAGGCAGTCATCGTCGGATCTGCCCCTGCTAGTGTGAGGACGGGCTGAAAAGAAGCTGGGCTCCTTGCTCGAGGGGCGACGTTGCATGTCGCATTGTTGGATGAAGGAGAGGCAGTCCGCCCATCCCTAACGTCACCGTCATGGTTGTTGACGGACCCATCATGATCTTCACCGTTGGTGAGCAGGTTAAAGGCGGAATTGTGGACAGCACCATCGTGGCATGGGCTGATCATGATCATAGAAGTTGATGAAAGCTTTGGTTCTACTGCTCGAAAGAACATGGAAGCTTTAGATTCCCACAGACGGCGCCACTGGTCGTACCTGATCAAAAAGGATCACTGGCCTGCCACGCGTCGTTGACTTGTAACTTCCACCGAAGGTAGGAAGAAGGAGGGGGGTGTACCTACATGACACTTTGATGCTTAAGTAAGTAAAAGATCAGAGTGGGAGAGCAAATACAGAAGTAGGTGTAGAATATAATACCCGACCCTCTAGAGAAAGATGGTATTTATAGTGAGACCCCAGCGCAGGGACAACAGTTACTTGCATTGGGCCAAACTGTCAGGCCCAACCCAAGTAACTGCTAGGGCTTACATGGCGTAGTGAAGACCAGCACATGATCTTTGCCCTAAATCAACTGCCCCGTGATCTCCGAAAGGTGGGCTGACCACCTCTTTCGGAGGTGGGTAGTTGCCTGATGACGTGTCCCCGCGTGGGGGAGCACGTGGAGAACGTGGGGAAAGCGTGTGGGTCTGCCCGTCAAGGGAGTCGTCTATCCGACGTATATGACTCGTGCCCGACATGGGAGGATTGGGACCTATTGGGCCTTCCCAACATAGTGTTGGGTTGGGCCTGACCGGCTGATGGGCAGGTCTCGACCCAGTCCATAACAATTTTTGTCTCAGCATGTTCCAATTACTTTCCTTAAAGTCGGGTTCGTGGACTCAACAGGGTGTTCCTATTACTCTCCTTGAGTGATGCTTCGTTATGAAATTCAAATTCATTCTCTAGAGAAGGTCATGGATTGAACCATTACAAGAGGAGGCTGAACTTGATTATGATATTTATTATTTTGCTAGGTATTATTTCTATTTCAGAACATTTTTTCTATTTTCTATTTGATTGTTTAATTAGTGTGGTCTGAGAGAAAATGTATCTTCTACAATAGATTATTGCTGTTTTTTTCCTTTGAATATATATATTCTCCAAAAATATGAATAAACATTACATAACCTTAATAACCATAACATTCATCTAAATAAAAGGAACATCTTATACATATAAAAGTTATAATCCATAATTCATATAGTTTCTTTTCCAGTTTGATATTTCATCAAACGAGTTTGATATTTAATTAATGGAACCAATATTTGTCATGCTTACCATCCATCAATGCATTGTCATTAATTCAATAAATTTCTTGAATGTGTTTTTGAGTTTACATATCTATTCAATAAACAATTTGTTGGTCTTTTACTTATATACCATGATTATCTAAGAATAACTATGTTAATGCACTCATAATGTTCCTCTCTATACTTACATCTCGAAAAGAAGTCAAAGATTTCAGAATCGATTTGTCAAGAAGCTACTTTTGGAATTAAGCTCTCTTTTCTTGTCCATTGTTGCATTGCTCATTACTTTCTATTATGGCCATTTCTTTTTTTATTGATCAAAAGTTCAAGCACATTGTGTTTCTGATTTACGGAGTCACTTGCCTCCCTGTGAGTTTGTATGCAAGAGCACAACTTCCTCTTTACGTTGATCTTCTGAAAGGTATTGTAACCAAAGTGGCAAAGATAAGTGATAAAGGAGAGGGGTTTTAAATGTGCAAAATGCAATAAAAATGTATTGGTTTGTTGAAATATCGAAGACAACCTGAATTCTACATACTACTTATGTTTGGAACAGTTTATATGTAAATCTAATGTTGGATTGTGGTTATTATAGTAAGATTCTTTTATTATGTACTCTCTCATATTTAAACAATTGAGATTTCATACTTTTGTTCTGAAGTTTAGTTGATTGAAGATAGAAAACTACTTTTTATTCCTACACGGTTGTTCTTTATAAAAGTTATTATGTACTGGGTCGGCGCTTAACCCACAACCAAGCAAGCCCAAACCCCACTGGAGTTGGGCCTAATAGGACCATGCTGACGGGAAGAAAACTCGTCGGGCACAACCTTCCCCCCGTCGGGCAGGACCATTGCAGTCGACCAGCCAACCTCTTTCTTCCCCGTCGTTGGGCAGAGTCCAGCTTGCTCGGGGAGTTCCTCGGACCTCCCCCCACGTTCTCTACCTGTCCCTCAGACAGGGACACGTCATAAAGTAACTACTCACGTCCCGAAGATTCAGTCTTCCTCCTCCCGGATAGTGCAGAACAGTTACCCTAGGGCGAAGACCACATGCTGATCTTCACAACGCCACATCAACCCTAGCAGTTACTAACATTGGGCCTGACAACCCAGCCCAGTGCTAGGTAACCGTTGGC